TTTTTTGCATTTTGTGCTTTTTGTTGGTGACCTCACTGCTTAAAATGATCCCCCAAATGTAGTGCTGAAGTGTTGTCTAGTGTTCTTAAATGCAAAAAGGCCATAATGTGCCTAATGGAGAAAATGTGTGTATTAAGACAAGCTTCTTTGAGGAAAGAGTTACAGTGCTGTTGCCTGAGTTCAATGTTAATGAATGAACAATATAAGGAACTTAACTCCCTACGTCCCATAGGGTAATGGTTCAGTATTCACTAATTCAGCCGTAACAGAACAGACTGATGACTTAACAGAACTACTGTAAATAAAGAGAATCAGCTGTATTTGTATATCTGTGTATATGGTTGTGTGTATATGTGTGTTTGTGTAAAGATCTGCCAGATATGAAAGGTTACACTTGAGAGGAGACAGAGCTGAGGAAAGTTGTTCAGGAAGAATCTTAAGCTTTATCTGTAGTCAATGTTTTTTTAAAAAATACATTAGGGGCGCCTGGGTGGCGCAGTCGGTTAAGCGTCCGGCTTCAGCCAGGTCACGATCTCACCGTCTGTGAGTTCGAGCCCCGCGTCGAGCTCTGGGCTGATGGCTCAGAGCCTGGAGCCTGTTTCCGATTCTGTGTCTCCCTCTCTCTCTGCCCCTCCCCCGTTCATGCTCTGTCTCTCTCTGTCCCAAAAATAAATAAACGTTGAAAAAAAAAAATAAAAATAAAAAAAAATAAAAAAAAAAATACATTAAAAAGGGTAGGCACTAGGAACGTAACGTGACTAATTAGAAGGCAGAGCTGGGACAAAAACGGTTACATTGATTATCATAAATCTCACACTCCTAATCAATGTTTCTTTCACTTGATTTTCATCATAAAATGGAATAAGAAATTAATCAGAGTAGTAGAAACTGGTAGAGCTCAATGAGAAGCAGTATAGTTGGTAGTTTATAGAGAGTGAGCTCTGAAGCCATACTATTCAAGTTTCTATCCTTGTTTTGCCATTCACCAGCACTATTCCTGGGCAAGTGTCCCAGTTTCTTCATATATATATAAGGGCTTCACAACAGTAGCTACTTCATAGGATTATTATCTAGATTAAATGAGTTAAGAGATGTATAGTACTTAGAATAGTACCTGGCCCCATAGAAGTGCTCAATAAATACTAGCTATCACTTTATTGCTACTATCATGACTAAAGATAATGACTGCTCTAAAAAGAAAAGTGAACTATTAGGAATATACAATACTTTTAACTTAATATCCTATACGGACTAGGTAAGTTTTCCTATTTACATTTTTCTCCTGGATATAAGTTTATTTATACTTTCTATTGCTAATAATAAATTCACTATTATATAAAAAGTATCTGTAAACGTGGGTTACAGACAAGAGGTTGAAGAAAGTATCTTTTATTAAAAAATTTTTTTTTTCATGTTTATTCATTCCTGAGAGAGAGAGACAGAGTGCAAGTGGGGGAGGGGCAGAGAGAGAGGGAGACACAGAATCTGAAACAGGCTCCAGGCTCTGAGCCGTCAGCACAGAGCCTGAAGTGGGGCTCAAACTCATCAGCCGCGAGATCATAACCTGAGCTGAAGTCGGACACCCAACTGACTGACTCTCAATCTCTCTCTCTCCTTCCAAAAAAAAAAAAAAAAAAAAAAAAAAAAAAAAAGGCAAAATGCTCTACAAGACAGATTTTTTTTCCTAGTTCTCACATACCTTGCTGAAAGTACGCTTAAACTGTACCAATGCATACTTTCTGGAACCAAGACACAGCTCTAAAAATTAGCAAAATGTCTGAGTTCAAGCTTAAAAGTGCCCATAGCCACCAGAAGCTCTAAAGATCCCCAGAGGTTATTTTTCTCTGAAGTCTGTCATTTTTCAAAATTAAGATGTCAGCTGTCTGTAAATCACTTTCCATTTTTCTAATTCTTTAAGGTACATAGGACATTAGTCGATAATTAATTCTCACTAGGAGGTTAAGAGAAGCAATTTGGAAGGAAGTCTGTCAGAAACTTTAGCAGAGGCAAATTTTTTGGAGAATTTAGAAAATGAAGTATTTAGTTTATCTATACATGAAAAAAATGTATACAACTAGAGACACTGGGCTGGCTCAGTTGGTGAAGCGTGTGACTCAATCTCAGGGTTGTGAGTTTCAGGCCCACATTGGGTGTAGAGATTACTCAAAAATAAAAATCTTAAAAAATGTATATATCTACACGTGAAATACCCCACTTGATCTCAACTCTAAGTGGAGTGAAGATAAGACAATCTGATGGGAAATAAACAAGAGTCAGGAACTTGAAGTAGGCATGAAACATTAAGAAAAATACATTTTGTTTATAAATAATATACCAAATTTCTCCTTATTAAAATTGGCATAAAGTCCGAATTTGCCTTTCATCCAAACTTACCAGTGTTACAAAGAAGATTACATTTTTTTTTAAATCCTTTTCTGTTTTTTAATTTATTTATTTTGAGAGACAGAGCGTGCACCCAGAGGGGCAGAGAGAGAGGGAGAGAAACAATCGCTAAGCAGGCTCCGAGCTGTCAGCACAGAGCCCGATGTGCGGCTTGAACTCATGGTTCGTGAGATCATGACCTGAGCCTGAAACCAAGTTTCCGATGCTTAACCGACTGAGCCACCCAGGTAACCCAAGAAGATTATGTTTTTCAGGGAGGTAATATTAATAGTACTCTGAATGGGGCACTTACTGTTTTATTGTGTTAAGTGTTCGCCATAATTATTTCACCTAATTCTCTCAACTTAAGGTAAGTACTCTTATTACCTCCATTTTATAAATGGAGAAATTAAATATTACAGAGGTGACTTGCTCAGGGCACCTGGGAGGCTCAGGTCACGATCTCACGGCTTGTGGGTTCAAACTCCCCATCAGGCTCTGTGCTGACAGCTTGGAGCCTGAAACCTGCTTCGAATTCTGTGTCTCCTTCTCTCTCTCGGCCCCTCCCCTGCTCACACTTTTGTCTCTGAAAAATAATAAATAAATGTTAAAAATTAAAAAAAAAAAAATAAAAAGAAAGGTACTTGCAAGACGTCACTTTTTTTTAAGTAGGCTTCACACTCAGCGTGGAGCCCAATGTGGGGCTAGAACTCACGACCCTGAGATCAAGATCTGAGCTGAGATCAAGAGTTGGACACTGAACCGACTTAGGCACCCAGGCACCCCTCAAGGTCGCTTTTTGAAATTAATTTGGTTGAAATTAGCAAGTGGCAGAATTGATATCTGAACCTAGATTCTGACTCTTAATCACTCTCCTACACTCTCATCTCTAACTACTAAACATACTGCCTCCTTCAAACACGGTAGGAAGTAAAACCCCACAGGAATTTTCTTTTTGTATTTTTGTCTATTGTTTGTATTGTTCTCAGCGTATCTGAGGTTTGCTTGGAATCCAAGTAAAACAAACTGTTCCTGAAAAATATATTAGCTGGCAGTGAATGGGGAAGAGACCAAAGAAAGGAGTTAAGTTAAAGGTAAAATATTTGCTGACACCAACCTAACATATTTAAATGACTGCCAAGACATTTTTGTTCTAAAGGCTAAATATAAGTCAGCCAGAGACATTTTAGTGCTGCCCACCAATAAAATAGAAATAATGGCCCTGGGCTGTGGTATCCATGCATAACAAGGCACATGTTCATTCAAACAATATCTATGTGCCAGGTTCCTAATTCATGTATCACTAAATCTGTTTCAAATGATGAAATTCACAAGGGTATGGACTTTCTAAAATAATGCTTATACTTAAGTTCTTCATCACAGGGTTAAGCTCTCTGTTAGCCTCAAAATATTTGTATGGAATAGTACTAAACAATTATCTAAATTTTCAGAGAACCTATGTTTTAGAGCAAACTGTGCTCAGTCCTACCCTGTGGAATCCTATGTGTTCCGGAATTAGAACTCAGGACTAGAGGTGCCTCTATCAGTGGAGAAGCCTCGATTACTGGTTATGGAATAAGAAAGGGCAAGACCCCAAGGAAAATTGCTATTCTTTCCCATCCCACTGAAAAACACCAGAATTATATATGTTCTGTTCCTTTGAGGTATAGCTCACCTTTAGGAGACAGAAGGATGATGAAGAAATTAAATTGCTATCCCAAAGTATTATTTTATGCTAGAGATAAAGACTAGTATCTGTATTTCATATACTGGAAAATCTCAATACTACTGTTTAGCTCTAAGACAAATTATAACAGCAGTGGCATGAATGGAATTAATAAGCATTTACCATGTGACTGTATTTTGTAATGCCAAGAGGGGGGCTGGAAATTCCCATACTTCAAAAGCCTACAGTCTTGTTGAAAACATAAAGCTATCATAATGATGTATCCTAACAAAAAGATTCTTGAAAATTCACCTGATTTCTGCTGGATTCTGTAAGATTCCCCACTTCACTACAGTCTAGTTACGTTAATAATCCATTGATACTAAATGAGAGTACTCCTAAATGGAGACTGATGCCCATATCTGGAGTGTCTGAGAAACACTGGAGTTTCAAGTAGAGTTTATCTTAAACAATTAAAATAACAGCATACAAAATTTGGCATTTTCAGGGAAGAGATAATGTATTTTCTCTGATCTCAAAATGATTTTTTCACTGCCTACCCGTCACCAATCTGTTGATTCCACAAAGAATGAACTGAGAGGAAAAATCATCCCACCAAGAAGTGTCATCTAATAGTTAAGTGTATGAGTAGTACACCTACATTCCAAAACCATGCTATACGAGTTAATTTATTTTGATCATGCTTCTACTGCCATGTGTTTGCATAAGAACCCAGCAATTGGTGTAACAGGAACTGCAAACTGACCCATGAACTGGTGACTGATGCTTGGAAAATAACTCTGTAGCAGGTTATTAGAAATTTTGCAGGCTACCTTGAAACTTGTTTTGTTTAGATGAACATCTCGCCTGATGTTTCACCTAAAAGAAACCAAAATCCAATCCCCGAAATGGTAGGGCATGTAAGCTAGATAAACTAGGCTGGAATACTTACCTAGAGCTGTAAAATCTGAACCAGATTTGAATAGAGCAGAAGCTAGGAGCTGAAACTGTAAAAGAAAAATAGAAGCAAATTAGCTGGCTAAGCATATTAGAGAAAAACTACGTGTCAGTTTGACCATTTATTAGCCACTGTAGGTCTCTGCACATGTGCTGCAGAAGTCTGTTCACTAAATAGTAGCAAGAACACTACATTTAAAAAAATATGCTGATTTTTCTTTTTATTATTATTTTTTAACGTTCATTTGTTTTTGAGAGGCAGAGAGAGACAGAGCGCAAGCAGGGGAGGGGCAGAGAGAGAGAGAGAGAGAGAGAGAGAGAGAGAGAGAGAGAGACACAGAATCTGAAGCAGGCTCCAGGCTCTGAGCTGATAGCACAGAGCCCTAAATAGGGCTTGAACTCACGAACCA